ACCGCCGTTCCCAGGGCTGCGTTGGCAGCTCTGTTGAAATCATCAATAGTGCTGCTAAGGGAGGAACCTACCAACAAAAAAGCATGTTCAGTTCAGCTCGACTGAAAGTGTAAAGGAAGGGAAAACTACTACGAACTTTAAAAAGGCTTTCTGAGGAGATAAACTTTATTTTATTAGGTTCTCTCATATGAAGACTTGATAGCACCAGCAAATTATTAAAAATACTAAATATTAATAAATTATTTATAAATTAAATAATAGGAAACGTACTTTTATATATTATTCTAAGATAATACTATTTTCGTTCATTGGGTTTTATGGAAAGAAACCACAGAAAGATAGAATAACCAACATTGTCCTATAAAATGAACATTGTTTTAAAACTTTTCCTGTCTGATTAAATTTGAGTGAATAGAAGGATAACTGATTCTCTAAAATTCATAAAAATCATGAGACTGATGACAAAATGCACTAGTGGGTACAATGTCATTTTACATTAGAATCTGAGAAATATTTTATGAGCATAAGATATGTTACTTTGATGTAGCTAAAGAGTCTGATACAAGCATTGCAAGATACCGTTCAACATTGGGGTATAAACATTATCATTCAAGAAATATAACTTACAGAGTATTACAAATAGTGGCATAAGAGATCTATTAGTGCATAGGCACAATAGTGCTTAAAAACTGTGTTCTCATGTTTTAAATATTCATCTAATATGCAAATATCAGAAGTTATGACATCTTATTTCTGGAATCCTCTAGATTTGTTTTTATATTTGACCCTATTCTCAGATTTTGTAGACACATCTCATTCCTGCAAATAGCTGTACCTGCAATTCATATAGATGCCTACATTCTATTACAATAATGTTATAGAGGCAGCCAGAGATTGTCAAGTGTTGTGTACTAGGCATTTGGTGTATTGATTGTAAGAGTATACCTGTTTTGATGTGGCCATTTTAAGATCTGAATCAACTAAAACTTACAAATACAGTAATCTTTATGTGGCATTAATACTTGTGTGGACTTTTCTCACAAAGCAGAAGGAAAACCTCTATCTCTTCTCCCACTGTTTCTTTCCTGTTTCCACAGGTATCAGGCTTCAATCTTGTATTTGCTCAGGGTGCAGATAACTGATTCTTCCATATACAGACTAGCCTCTGGTTATAGGATATAGGTACTGCATATTGCATCTCATTTGGTATCTATATGCTTACCTCATAGGTAGAAGACGACTTTATTGTCTGTGACTTTTCAGCATTCTAGAGACAACGATGACCATAAAACTAAAACAGTGCTTATTTTGAGAACAGCAACCAGGTATCAGTTGAACAGAATTTTAAGACAAGCCACACTTCTGTGGGCTCTTCTGTAGTTATTCTCCAGCCAGGTCTCTGGGAGCTGCGTTATGTACATCTCCATCGCTTATTTTTCTTTTGCTCAATTCCTGCTTTTCAGAAAATAGTTTGGGCTCCTTGCTCTGGCTTTGTCCTATTGTATGACTTGAGATTTTTTTGGCAAAAGTTTTACCTCTGCTCCTATTTCTTGCTTGTTTTCTTTTTTCTTAGGAAAAAATCAGTTTATTAAATCAGTAACTGACCAAGGAGTTATAACATCAGACAAAGCTGTTCCATATGTTTTGCAAGTGCTGCACCTAATTTTTGATACAGGGATAGTACCGTTATTAGACCTGCTTACATAAGTATGTCTTGAATCTGCAGGTGTTTACACAAGTAGAATAAAGATAAAGCTTCTTTTCACTTAGATTTTAGAAGCAATGAACTTTGGATCAGGCAGATAACATGAAATAGCCGATGTCAAGCATAAAGTTTGTGCAGGCAGGGATTGCACAGGGTCTGCTGAAATCTGCAGAGAGAGGCAGAGAGTATTATGTTTTCTTAAAAGTGTGATTTTGATACTCTTGAAACGATTTGTGAACTAGACACAGACTTGCTAAGTAATTTTGGTGATGGGTGATAAAATTCTTGGTTAGCAAAATGAAGTAGTGATCTTGCTTTTAACCAGCAGCCCGTGGTTAAAGCATTCACAGAAGTATGTTGGGTTACCAGGCTTAATCCCTTGCCTTGCTTGAGAGGATTTGTACTCATGCTTCCAACTCTCAGGGAAAGAGATTTCCCTGGCTTCCACAAAATGCGAGGAGAAAGATGCACAGTGCTTAATTTCTCCTCCTGGTGCCATTCTACTTTGTATAAGTAATTAAGCATTCACTGAGGCAGAGACCAGAACACTGCTGACCCATCGTTTAAACACTGCCCTAATTACCAGACTAGAGAGTCTCCCCCCCACCCCTTTTTTCCTCTCATCTGTCTCAGATGCTGTCTGATCTGGAAGACAGCAATGTTTGCAAGAAGAAATAAAAAAGTACTACAGAATAGCCTTATCACATGGCTAGAGTATCTGGGTAGAGTGACAGCTTTGGATTTTTCCCGGACCGATACATCGAGTGGGATTGCATTTTCTTTGCATGAAGTCATAGTAGCATGGAAAACATCAGGTCTCTGTCTCACCTATTTCGTATGTCCAATCCCACTGAACTCCTAAAGCTAACCATATTGCTCAGTGCTGTGCTAGCAGCACCAACAGAAAATGGTTTTGTGAGAACTGAGTTTTGATATGCATATTTATTGAATCAACTATTCATAACACTGGTAGTATTCATAACATTGGTAATACTGAACTCTCCTTCTTACCTTGAAGTAAGTTGTTTTAGAACTTTTTTGCAATGGACATCCACCTGACACCAGTACTAATTTTCATTTTCACTCAAAACTGTTATAATTGCTAGATGATAATTTTAGATAAGACTTCAGCAAAATTAATAACATGGCCTAACGCTTAGCCACATGAGGAGCTGCATGGAAGTTGAGGGCATAAAGACCCAGTTTAAAAAAAATAAACAACCCTAGATGCTTGAAATTAAAATTAAGCAAAATTTAAATCAGAGTCCACAGATGAGATCCTGAAAATTCCAGTTTACCTGTCACTTCAGTATCAGCTATGCTTTATGTCTAGATTAATGTATGGATTGAATGTGTTTAAGAGAAAGATTTGTCAAGTTCAGTGAATGGTTTTCTCTGCATATTAATGTGTTATTCAGTGTGAAAATATATCTTCAGAAGAAAATAAAGGCTGCTTGCTCAGCATATCTGCCCTTTGCCCAAATTCACAGTGTTTATCCTTCAGAAGAGTCAGTAAACATATACCAGAATTATGCCGGGTTTATCCCCAAAAAGGAAACACAAGGGTGCTACATGCTGGATGCTGTTATGACTTCTGCAGTCAGCATAATTTACACAGCAGAAGTCAGGATATGCACACGCATGCAGCTCCTCTCTGAAGGCTTTTTGCACTGAACTACCCACAGTAGTTAAAACATTCATAGGGTATGGGCAGCTTCCACTTTAGAGTTTAATTTGAGGATATTGTTGTTGCTAGGAAATTAAAACTTTTCCAGAAGTTTCCTTATTACTAATGGTACATATGAGTCACGAAGAACACGGAGTAACTTTGACATTGCTGGGAGAGTTTGCAGGCTAATAACTGGAAACACTCTTCTCCCTTGCAAAGTAAAATCATGAGAATTATTTTGATGGCCTAAAACTAAATGTCAGTTTTACAAAGATGCTTTTGGAAAGGAGCCACATCCTGAGAATGACTCAGTGAAGGTTGTATCATGCAGATGGCAGAAGCGATGAGAAGTACTCTAGGGCTGAGGCTGCTTCTTGTTGTTGCTGCTGTTATTTCAAAGCAGGAAATTTCATACCCCTTTACCTAAGCAGATAATAAAAGATACACTTGTTACTGGTAAAAAAAAATGTACTTAAGTGCTTGCCTAAAGAAGTGTTTACCTTGGTCTCATGAATCAAAATTTAAGTGGTTACTGAGTTGAAACCAATATCAGTAAAGTAGACAACTTTTCTTCAGCTTGTGCAATAAGAAGGCATTAAAATGAGGAAATGGGGCCTTTTTGACATATTTTATCTCAATATAAAAACAGGTACTTTAACAGAGTTTGATACTATTAATCAAGATGGCTAGAGGTGCGGTCTTTGAGACTTCATGTTCAGTGAGCATTTACGATAGAAATAAACTAACATAAAAGTATTAAAATTGTTATTAACGTACTTAGTATGTCAAAAGACACAGCTACAATTTCAAGAAGCCTATGTTTCTGGCTCTTAAATTTGGGGAGAAATAATCTGCTAATCCTTGTTTCAAAGAAATGGCAAGTGAGAGTGACCAGAGTGGTAAGTGGCAGCATCCAATTTTTGTCAGAAAGTCTCTGAATAATTGATTGTGTCACACATGCATGCATAATGTAACTTGGATCTGCTAAATGCAGTCACCAGAAAATACTGTGGATTATAGGTGGGGGGAAAAAAGTAGAAAAAGTGAAGATACAGCACAAAATTTAGTTCTAATTTATTTTTTAAAAAAATTTCCTTAAATCAAGCATTTAGTAGCAGGAAGTCCATTCCATCAACATGCTCTTAGAGAGTCATCTGAGCTCCTTAGAACCCATAGTAAAAATCTTGCTGACTACTTTTCACATGAAACATGGTTCTGTTCTGGTTGGATGTTGATTCATCTTGAAATAGATTGGTTGTGAGCTCCTTCTGAGTTGGAGAAAATTACATCAGCCATGGCTTTCTGATTTTTATTTCCTTTGGAAAGGAAGGCAGTTGTATCAGAAAAGCAAAGTGGGATTCCTTGTTTATCAAGTAATCCAGATATATATTTGTTAACTGAACAAATTTTGAGTGCTTGGGTTTGGTTTTTCCTCTTAATGTTGTATCACTCTTACAAACTTACCCTGGAATCTAAAATTAAACATACATAAATCACAGTGTTGCCTGAAGTGGCAACCTGCAGAGATTCAAGCAGTAGGCTTGAGAGATAGTGTTTTCAAAACTGTTTTAAAACAAAGGTTACCGTTTTGTTGTGCATAACCTTTCTTCTTTTTTCTTATTGAAGATGGGACATGGAACACAGAGCCTCAGAAGATAGTTAAACTGGGGGTTCTGCCTGTTAGAAGTCTGCTTGTGATGGAGGAGACCATTTGGGCTGCATGTGGTGGACAAATTTTTATAATCAGCACTGTGACACATGCCATAGAGGTAAACACTTTTAAAAACATTGCTCACATACTATGCTACAAGGGGTATAGTGGTGAAATTTTAAACATTATAATATGTTTAAGAAGTCTCATGATTCAGGAAGCTTTTAATGAAATATGATTTCGGTTCTGTTAAAGCCCACTCCCTGTGCTTTGAAATTCTGCCATGATGTTCTCTGCTGATGACCTCTGTTTGCTGCCATTTTCCTCCGGGTTTCCATAAGGTGCTTGGAACTTGTCGAGCATTTGAAGCAAGAGGTTCACTTAAAAATGAGATTGGAGGAAAGGCAGCAAAGAAGTGGGTGCCTGTAGGAATTGCCTGTGAATTCCAGACGAAGGTTTAATTAAGAGACATAGCTAGATGTTACTTGTACCTTGTGATAATTTCATATTATCTTCAGATTTCTGCTTCTCAGTGGCGTACAAAAAATTGCTTTGCATAAGGACATTTTCTAATGAATAAACATACGAAGGTCAGCTTTTCTGGAAGGAGTGGAGTGTTAAGGATTCAAGCTCATATTTGTGACCTCATTTTCCAGAAAGCGTTAAGCCCTCAATTCTGTCAAAACTGCAGCCTCCACCAAAAGAAAGCCGTGGAGGTCTAAAGTTTGGAGTTGATGAAATGTTAGGAATTAAACCTTTCCTTCAACCTACAACACAGTTACAGTGAGTTGCGTGATGTTTACAGCCATGAAGTTCTTTCAAACAGGAGTCGTGATGAGCTCACAGCCGCCTCCTTTGTGTGCTTTGTTGCCGCTTTTTTGTTTCATTGATGATCGTGTTTTCTCCCAACAATTGTCTATTTGGTACAATTGATTCTGTGAGTCATTGTCATGGGTTTGCAGGGAAATAGCTAACATCCTAATTTCCTCTGTCTTTCTGGGTGCTTTCTGGGTGATTTGTTTCATCCAAGTAGATGCTTGGAATATGTATTTTCCGATTTTGTTTTTCTTTAAGGCTTGGGTTTTTTTGATAGCTTGAATGGTATGATGAGGGAAAGATTTTGGAAAAGTGAGTTGGATAGATGCTTGAAATGGACTTCTGTTTGCTTCACTGGGGGGGCAGTGTAGCCTCTGGGACACTTCTGGTTATTGTCCTACAGAATTTGATGGTGAATCTCTCTGATTCTCAAGAAGAGAATTGAAGCCAGATTATTCCTGTGAGGTTGGTTTCATACAGCCAGATCTCTGTAAATAAGTTTTGCAGTTCTGGCTTAATTCTGTCACAAAGCTCTTCCCAGATCAGGTGGTACAGCTGCAGTTTGGGCTGTGTGCTGTTTTGGCACAAGAGAACAAAACCAATTAGACAAGCTTTGAGGATTAAAGAATGTATAAAGCTTACTTTATCAAAATACAGTATAGTGTAACAGATTGCAGTATTGAAAACAGAAGCTGAGATATAAAATAACAAATATTCTATCAATATCTCTCAGATACGGTAGTTTCGTTTTTCAGCTGTTACTACAAGTTTTCCTACAAAAGCATCACAGATTACTTTTCTTTTCCAGAGTGCTTTGTAAACTAACCTGTCCGTTGTATTAATAGCTCAGATTAGGTATAAAAGTCAGTGCATATAATTAATATGCAGGCAAGGAATGCTGTAGAAAACAACATATAAGAAATGGTGCAACTGGAAATGGTGCGTATGGGTTGAATAATGTTTTCTTGACATGAATAATTTTGTTCAAGAACGTGATGAGGTTTTGTATGACTGGCTAAGGTTCATCTTCTTTATTCCACACAAATATCCATACCGTAGCATGTCATCTTCCTCACAGAACTGTGAACAAATGATTATTTTCTGTTGCCTCTTTACTGGTCCTAAGACATATGCAAGCAAGCATGGATCTTGCTATCATCATCTGACCAGACTGAACAGCTCACTAATGTTTTCACTGTTGCTACCTACTCAGTTACCTGACTTGTTTTGATAACTTCCTGGGTTTATATTTCCTAAAGTGATCTGCTATGACATGCATACTATGTTCATTGGCAATATTGTTTCAATATTATATTATACATGAGGCAATTTAAACTCTGTCTATAGGGAATATTTTAACAGTATCAGCAGCTGAATACATCTGTGCTACCTCTTCCTTACTGTGCAGAACAGAAGCTTTTCTATATGAAAGGAAATAGCAGCGAGGAAATATTTGTTCTCCCTCTGTGCCCTCTCTTGTTGAGAGTTAGTAGTAATGATTTGACTCTAGATTTTTTGCGTAACATTCACATTTAGCAGCAGCAATCCAAGTGTTGCATAGGGCTCAACTGTTGTTCCTTCTTCTTTGCTGGACTCCTTTATATCTCCATATACTTCAAATTGCAGCTACTTCTTTGTTCATTGCTTTGTACTATCATGCATACATATTGTATGCTCTGTATCATATATGTTATCTACAAAGGCACCTGACTAGTTTTTGAGGCCATATTTGTGCAAGCCCATGAGCGTATTCAAGACTATTTTGCAAACTTTGTCTTTGTGAGGCACTTCTTGCTTCATAGATATGTCATGCTTAACTGTTTATTTGCTAATTGCAAAGTACATTATCCTTGAAAACAATCTCATTCCATGCCTCCTTGCTTTTCTAAGATTCTTATTTAAGCTTTTTTTTAATAACGATTAGTAAATGAACAGGTTTGGCATCCTATATATTTGGTTTGGATGTTATTTGCTTTTCCAGCTTTTTTTCCCCTCTGATATGGATAAGACTCTCAACTCACTTGTTTTAATTATATATTACTGCAATAGAATGTTTTAGGAAATGTCTTTTATTGGCACAGTAGCTCAAACTGGCACAGTGCCTCAAGGCCCTTGGCAAGGTGCATATGAAAAATTCATTAGTTTCTGTTATATGTTAATTACATACCCTGATACTCTTTCTGTGAAGAATAAATTTGTCCTTAGTCTTGACCCTAGATCTGATAGTTGTATTGCCGTTGAGTGTAGACCTTGATCCCTTAGTGGTCTCTGTGCCTATGCACCCTTATGCTCTGCAAAGGCAGTATGTGTTTGTTTAAAAACAAAGTCACCAATTGAATGGCATTCCATCCTGATTTGTTTTGTCTTGTTTTTAAAATTTGGCTAACTGTACACCAGTTACTCTGAAATGTTCAGCTGAATAAACAAAACAAATGAAAATCCCTATACAGGAGTGTATGTTGCCTGAGTACTGTAACTTCTTTAGAGCAGTAAAAGTAATTTGTTTTACCTTGTGGACAATGGTACCCATTATACATTTCTCATGAAGCTTGAGAAATCGTGGTTCAGTTCTTGGCACAGCTGTTTGGTGCAAGTGAGCACCCCCTCAAAAGAAAGACTCCAGCTACGCCCCACGCTGCTGAAACAATAGTGAGCTATGTTGGGCTGCACTGCTGGGCAGGCGGGCTGCAGCATCCAGAATGTCTTCTGCAGCTCTCATGTTGCTATAGAGTTTGAACGAGAGAGCCTGAGGGGAAAAAAAGCTGGGCTCTGAATAGACAGGAATGTAGGTATGAAAACTAAAAGAGAAAAGTAAAATGAAGTTCAAAATTTTTTTTATACAACGAAGGGAATAAGACATTTTGTATCTGTGTTTTTTGTTATGGAAAGAAAAAACGAAAAAATTGAAGAAAAAGTCCAGCTATTGATTTTCAGAAAGACATGTAATTGAAACAGATGTCACATCTATCCTCCATACAAAAACTTATGCATTTGTAAAAGAATGTACAGGTTTGGGTTATGTTCCTGCTCCATGTTAAAAGACCCTTTGAATGAGAAGAATGGTTCTTTTTACATGTTTCTTGTGGCATTGACAGTATTAGAGTTTTACTTTAAACAAGTCTATGTGTTTCAGCAGACAGCTGTATGAATGGCAGGACAGGCTAAGTGGGAGTATAATGAGTTGGCTGGTAAAAATGGAATGTGACAAAAATTCGTGTGCAAGTTGTTTATAGTGGCACCAGCAGAATTGTCAGCTGTGGTCAGACCACTCCAGAGAAAATTCATTTCTTACGATCTGCTTCATTTTTCTTCTAATTTCATACAGTGCCAGTTCCTGGTCAGGTTCACTTCAGTGGCCTTAGATCTGTCCCTGAGAAATTTTTGAGAAATCAGTTGATCATCTGTGTAAGGATATGAGTCTGTAAACAGATGTTACTATTTTTAAATCCTCTTTGCAGTAAAACATGCATGATGAGAATATCTGGAAATTTAGCCATAAGAGATGTTTCTGGTTTTGAAAGATGTTAATGGATGAATTCTTCTATTGAATAAATCATATGATTTTCAAATTATATCGTTTGGTACAGAATGAATGGAGGTTACTTGAGGAAAGCAGTGAATATGCCTGCCAGAGGTGCTTACCTTTCATTCTGCAGTGGTGTTATTCAGAGTCAAAAGATAATACAATAACGCTCAAAAACTGAACCACTGCGTAATAGCTGAAGAGAATCTTCTCTGTTCATATACCAAAAACTGAATATTTGAAGAACAGTGTTAACAAATAAAAATTTAAAAAAAAAAAAAAATCATTCCTCTTACTTTTAAACAGTCAATTTCTCAGTGGAAAGCACTAAGTATGAAAAGAAAATAAAGTGCCTACTAAGTATAATATCAGAAGTTAGTCTTTGTGAAAGCTTAAACTTCTATTCTTTATCTCTGACCTTAGCTTGCTTGTTGAATTTAGATGGAGAATTTGAACAATATAACTATAACCCTGATATATTAAAAACATAACTGTCTTAGGCCAAGATCTTATCCTGAGAAACATGTAATTTTGATTTTGATGAAAAAATACCAAAATGTAACTCTTAATTGTAATGCATGGAAAATTTAAGTGTACTTTTACAAGGAGGGAGGAGGTACTTTTGCATTTTATCTGCAAATATAATTAAGAGTATATAATATGTAGCATGAATACTAGAAGATATTTACTTCCATATCCCTCAGAGAGGGTTTTGTATCCAAGGAACAGTTTGTCAGTTATTTAACCAAGGAAGTTTTATGTTTGTCAGAATAGCTCTCAGTATTTGATAATAGCTGGCACAACATTAAAAGTCTGTGTTTAACTTCTAAGACAGTTTACTTACAAAAGTGGCAAAAAAAAAAACCTACTTCTTGTTAATGATTAAAGAACTTTACTACCGCTTTATCTTTCATGTTAACAGGGGTAAGTAGAGAGGTTTTGGTCTTGCTGGAGCCATGCAGAAGTTCTAACTGAAGGCACTAAGGAAAAAGTCTATCTTCAAAGTCCTTGTATTGCACATCTTCAGAAGGAGGATTTTGGCTTTTCTAATGAGAAGCATCAATATTTTGAAGGACAGGAAAACAAAATAGCTAATACTTGTGAAATTCAGAAGTGTCTATGAGCCAAAAAGCAAGACACAGTATTAAGGCTCACATTGTTATGTACGTAGTTGAGCAAAGAATTGTGTATTTGTATTCATAAACACTCTACTTTCTAAAGATTACTTTTTCCTTGATTCTATTATCCTTCTTCTGAAAAGACCCCCTAACAGAACAGAGAAAAATACTTTTTATTGTTTAAAGAGGAGTTCTTCTGTAGATAAAAGTAACATACTAGGAAAAAAATCTGCCCACTCCCAGGAACTTCATCTGTGGTAGTTTTCCCAAAGGAGTATCAATAAAGAAATACAAAATCCTTTTAAGTCTGAGCTGTTATGGGCTTGCCAGCCCCTACTATGCAATATTTTTAAGAAATATATTATCTAAGTTGCTGTGAAGTTATTCTGTCATGAGATAGAACTTTGTCTCAAGAGCTGAGAATCCTTCCATTCTAATGATAATGTATTTTCAAAAAAAAAAATTAACAGTTTAATTAACACATAATATTCATCAGTCAGAACATATTGTGAGCAAAGCAGAGGAAACTAGCTTTGTCCTTGACACAGCAGACAAAGATACAGTGCCTACACCTAAGAGCTGATAAGGAAGGTTGAATGATGTTCAGTTGCATGTCCCCACACAATCCTTGTTTTTTCTTACAGAGCCATTTTGAAGCCCATCAAGAGGAAGGGATGGTAATCTCTCACATGGCTGTTGCTGGAGTGGGAATCTGGATTGCCTTCACATCTGGATCTACGCTTCGCCTGTTCCACACTGAGACACTGAAACACCTCCAGGATATTAACATTGCCACACCTGTTCACAATATGTTGCCAGGTAGCTGAATCACATCATGTGATAACATTTCTCTTTTGTCTTTATCACCATCGTTTTCCAGAGTGGTGTAGATTAGGCCAGAATCAGAAGGTCCATCTCAGACTTTGAGTCTGACAACTTTCATGACTGTTTGCTTTAGTAAATCACAATCAGTGCCTGCCCAGAAGAACAATGTGTGCAGTGAACTGGTTGATTAGCAGCTCTCCTCCTTAGAGGTTATAAATGTAATTATATAGATAAGCAGGTGGATTCTTCTGTTTAGTCTTTTTTTTTTTTTCTTTTGTAACTGTAAAGCAGTAGGACAGTGCATTCTCCCATGAAAATATGTTTGCTTTGCAAATTTTAGCATTTGCTTCTGGAACTTAGTATCAGAGTACATGATGCAGTCAATTTGCCTAGGATCGGACCAAACAAACGGTTGCTTATTTTTAGATACATCAGTAGTCCCAGCGAACTCAGCTGAACCACTCACATGCTGGCATTTTGGAGTTCAGCGCTTTGCTGACTGGAGCTTTAATCTGTTGAATTAAATGGTTAATCTTGTACGTAAAGATGGAACCAGTGGTTATTAGGATAAAATTTAATGGATCTTGAAGTGCTTTAAGGCAGAAGCTGTTTGGTCATCAGCATCACAGACAGTTGCACTTGTCAGTTTTGCAAGTGAATGGCTAGGGCCTCAGCATCAGCAAGCACATCGTGTGGGAGCTGTGCCAGTGCTAGGAGAAGAGATGGGCAGAAGAGTGATGCTGGCATGGCTGAGCATGAGGTGTCCATGAGGAGACAACCATTTTTTCCGTCTCTCTCCTGAGCGTCTACAGTTTTTATGGGCAATGCGTGTGCCAGATTTATTGCTTTGCTTCTAGCAGAAGCCAGTTCTTCCCAGGCTGAGATTATATTTATATTCTTACAAGAGTTAGGTATAAATCTTGCATCAAAAAATGTTTTGCTTCTTCAGGCTGTGTTGTCTTACCATGTTTTCTTTCAGATGACGTTAGCTTTGCAATAAAGCTCTATTTTAAATTGTGTCCATTTAGATCATGTTCTAGACAGGGTGTTTCTTACATGTGGTGTCAGCAGCAAATCACCTGCCTTTAAATAGGTCATTTGATTGAATTCATCACAGTTATGCAAAGAACTTGAGATCAGTTGTAAAAAGAAGATTAACTTTTAATATGTTCTTCTGTTTATAGTGGGAGAAAAAAGGGAAGTAGGGCCTCCCCTTATACATTTTTTCTGCATATAAAAATCTTCAGAAATTTAGCTGTAGTGTTCATTGCCATGGTAATAAAACTGCTGATGTAACATACCATCTTTTTTTGTGAAACTGTTAGCTAATTATATCTCTTCGGTGTCATTCTTACCCATTTTAGTTCCTTCATTTTTTCCTCAGCATCTTCACAAAGAGCATGCCAGTGAATGGAAGTGGAAATTTATTTCAGGAGTAGAACATTACAGCAAACGTTCCAAGGGAAAATCCATTCTAAAAATGAAATGAATTTCAATTATTTAGCGTCAGCTCTTGGGCCTGCTTATATGATCCCAATAATGCTGCAACAGCAAAGGCTAAAAGACAGAGGAGTAGGAGATTTACATAATAAAGCAGCAATAAGGACCTTTTGGAACTAAAAGCAGCTGAAGAATAAATCAAGCTCTGTGTAGTATACACTGAGATTTAAAAAGAAAAAAAAAGTCAAACAGAAAAAGAGTGAAATAGCTGAGTATTTATAAAATATGTATTTGCCTTTAGTGAGGATTTTTAGGACTTTAGTTTTAAAGGAAACAGCTGATAGTATTTTGAAATCCAACAGGAGTTCTTTAATATGCAAAAATAACAGATAAGTAAAAATTCAACCGGTATTGAAATGAGAGAGAAGAAATCAGTGTAAAAATATTGCTAAGGGTCTTAAGAGAGAGATGAAAAAGTCAAGATCTCAATATAACTTCAAAGAAGCTGGACTTCTTTTGCCAAGATTTTAGTAGGAACAACAATATGTAATATTGGCCTCATAGGCTACCTGGAGATGTCATCTGTCTTCGTTTAGAACAATGTAAATGAGGGAAATGTCACTCTATGAAGTTAATGAAATTATCTTGTTGTTATACAGTATAAGGAAAACTTACTGTCACTGTCAGGAATGGTTACTGTGAATTACAGTGCTGTAGTTAAAGGATAGTTGTAGTAACTAATTAAGATAGAGGAGCAGGAGGTTTGCATATCCTTAGTAACCAGTTCTCATAGCATTAGATTTTTTCCCAAGTTTGTTCTTAGGAGGGAATGACTTTAAATATCACTATCTGCTCTCCTTGTTGTAAAGGATGTGCCTCCCTTGCTTTGAGGAAGACAACCCTGCAAGCACAATGCACAGGACAGAATCAGAGAGGAATGAAGTGTAAGGGAAATGGCACAGGAGGTGTTTGTCTTTATGATTTAGCAAAGTTTAGTAATGAAAAAAGCAGACTCTGTTTGGCAGAATTTTTTATCTGCTGCATGTAACCTTTTTAATCTGTGTCAGTCTACTTATGAAGAATGGAGCTGGGAGGGCTCTTGCTTTCTGGAGTTATGGGAAGTTTGTGTGTGGCAATGCAGGACTGGAAATTAAACCAGAGTCACGGAGGCAACCACAGGATAGACATTTAGTCTGGAGTGGTCCGCAGTACCTTTATTTCATATATCATCAGAAATACTTCCTAATAATGTATAACAAGCTTGTGTTCTATAACAAAACGCCAAAACAGCACAAATGCCATATAAGGAAGGAAGAGAATGGTTGAGAAAAAAGAGCATCATCATTATTACAGGTCCAGGTAACTATTTATTTCACTATCTTGTAAACCACAGTACAGCAGGATTGCTTTTAAGTGCCCCAAGCACAGCTCTGTTAGCTGAGCAGAGGGCATACTGAGCAGCAGGAAAAAAAGTCTATTAACATTTGAAAACAAATTATACACACTTCACTAGTGCAATGTACTTCATTTGTAGAGTAAGTTTATGCTTAGCGTTTGTGATCTGTAGCTGAAATCTCAACAAAGACAGCTTTTCACCAGCCTTTATCACAGACCACAGCAAAAAAAAAAAAAAAATATCATACTGCACATGAATACAGTCCACTTTTTTTTCATAGTCACATTCAATATTTAATTCTTCAAGAAGATCCTTAAACATGTCTTTCCTTCCAGCTCTAAAATAGTTTATCCTTTTAAAGAGACTACTGTGAACTTGATACATGTAATTTCATTGCTTATATGGACTGTGGCAGGTTATCTGTTTAACAAAGAGGTGATTTCTGCTTGAGTTGCTGTATTCTGTTTATATCTGTATATCCTCTAATGTCATGTGTGTTTCCTGGAAACAGAGGAGAAAAGCAAAGAAGGGGGAAAAAAAAAAAAAAAAAGTATAATTTCCTCTCTGTGGAAAACAAACTATACTTTGAGGCTTACAGCTTTCTTTTGTCCCCACCCTACCAGGTGCCAGACCATAAAATGCAGTTGTTTTATGATTTTACTGCTGGGAAACGATAAACAGATTGGGGGAAACTTTAGGTCATCCCAATAGATCTGTACAGTGGGCTTGTTTTTATATAGTGAAGGCAGCATGGTCACATAAGAGAATATGCACCAGTATGCCCTTGCATCTACCTAGGGTTGACTTCAGAAGATCTATGTGGGAACACAGGAGGATTTACCCAGGTCTGGTGGCTGTTGTAATTGAGACTCCAGAAAGGTGGACATAGAGCAGAACATAGGCAGTAAAAACATTTGTCCATGTATAAGCTTAATTTCTGGCTTCAGTTCTTCATAAAGTCAAGATCTTGGTCAGATTATTTTACAGGTTTTAACAGTTCTGTCTGAATTGGGACAGTGTGATCTAAAAGTTGTAATTTAAAGATAGAAGTATTTGTAATTTAAAGATAGGAGTATTTGATTGGTTTTGGTATTTATAGTTATAATTTTCCCATCTTGTTAACTTCTGTGCTTACTGCATAACACATTCTAGAAAATTAGATTATTTTTTTTTTTCTCTGAATTTGAGATGTATCAAAATAAATATCTCAAGACAACAAAGAAAAGTATGATTTCAAGCCTTGGCTAGCAGATAACAAATTAATACTTTAGTGTTTTAATAGGTTTTTTTTTAACCTATATATAATTTTTTCAGTTGTTTTTATGCTATTTCATATTATATTTTCAGATGCAGATGTTTCCTTCTTTCTAAGATTTCAAAGCAAGTGATTGTACTTTCGGCCTCGCTATGGATGGTTCATGCTTAAGGTTGTGCTCAGTGTTTAACATTTTATGTTGCTGGCTGATAATTTGCTGTTTTCACCTATGGAAACAGTAATGCATATTACCAGTTTTCCCTGGTAAAAATTACTGGTTAGAAGTTGCTTCAGGGTTGTAGTATGAAATCATGCATGTTATTTTACATTTTAAATGCTTAAAAAAGCATCAAAAATCTGTTATTTAAAAATGTGAGCATTTTGCTTCTGCAAGGTGTTTGAGAGGCAAAAGTACAATTGCAGTTTTTGATAATTTTAACAGTTTAAAAATTGTACTTAAGCATTTCTGTTCATGGTTTGTAATACAATCTTTAAGTGAAATGGAGTGAAGTCAAACTAACCTGCAGTTACCTTGCACTTGCTGTGGCACCAGTTGTGGGAGAGGATTCACATGCCATACATAACTTGAGCAAGCCTGATCTTTAAAACACAGAATTCAAATACTGGTTTTTGAGAACACCAATACACAGTGGTGCTTGGTCATCACTGGTTGAACTTTTGTGCTGAAGGCGTGCCTTTGTGTGCTTTGTTTTGGAAACTACATTAATTCCATTAATATCTCAAGAAAACAAACCAAAAACAAATGCACACACACATGCGCACACACACACAAAAAACCCCAAACAAACAAACAAACAAAGCAAAACAAAACAAAACAAAAAAACACCATACACCAAAACCAAATCAAACAAAAAAAAACCCTCAAAAGAGCGAACTCCCAGCTTCAAAAGGCTTCTCATTTATCTATAGGCATAGACCATCCATGTCTATGTAGTTGAAGGGGGATGATGCAGTCCTACCACCATACAGTTTATGGAAAACAACACAGATGTGTCTGAAGGTCTGCGTGAGTAGATGGAGCCTCTTCAACTCACCTATGCTTGTTACACCTGCTGAGGATGACCTAACCGTGGTGCCTTTAGGGTTTTTTTAGAATGTGGTTTTAGGTAGGTAGAGCTGGGATTCCAGATCTGGCCCTATGTGTACCTTGTACAACACCCCATTGCTGCGTTAATACTTTGTTTGCAATTTGTGAGGTTCTGTGAGGAAGGACTTGAACTGTGGTCTGCCTCCTGCTGTCCAGCTGAGTGCTCTGGGATACAGTCAAGCTGCTCCTTCCCTACTTTCCCACTGGGTCTGTGATTCATAGTCTTGGATGTAAATTGGCTAAGCTTCAAGGGATGAGGTGGAAAATGCATTCGTTTGTGATACACCATAATTAAGGCCCTTTTCCAAAGTGTGGAACATACGGGTTCATCCAGGTTATGTCAGATGAAGAATCCAAATTCCGTACTTACAGATGAAGTGATTAACAACTTGAGAGCTGTGACAAAGATGAGAATGACTGCTCTCTTGCATGGAAAGTTAATCATAAATCCAAGAACACGTAGGTTTTGAACCTGGAGGATTCTAACAAGGTTTAAATGCTCCTCCGCATAAACTTGGGCCATGGCAAAAGTTTGGTCAGGCTGTAGTTTCCATTTCTGAAACTTGTTAATACCATTCTGAAAGTCCATCTATACTGAAGCAAACATATTTAGTAAGCATTGCAATCCCATAAATAATACGTTGTAGAAAACCATAGAATAGTTTTGATTGGAAATTACTCTGGAGGTCATCTTGTCCTTCCTTTTTGAAGTAGGCCTGGTTAGAACTGGTTGTTCAAGGACTTGTCCAGACAAATTTTTAATATCTTTAGATTGGATGGAGATTCCACAACCTCTTGCAGTGTTTTACCACCCTTACGATAAAGAAGCTTTTCCCTACTTCCCATCCAAATTTCCCGTGTTCCAAATTTGATCCACTGTGCACATCTGAAGAGAGTCTGGCTCTGTCTTCTGTGCCTCCTCCCGTCAGATAGGTGCAGACAGCACTGCCTTTGACCTCTCTTTGTGTTCTATGTGATCCAGTCTCCTGCCCATCTTGGTCACCTTCCACTGGACTTGTTCTGTTGGGCCAATGCCATTCTTGTACGGGGGGATCCAAACTCAAACAAAGGGACACAGCACTTCGGATACAGTTTCACAGAATAAAAACTAGGAGAAAAAAAGTAATCATGAAGAGGTTTGAGTATAGTGTGTTATGGCAATATATTATGGAGTATTGTGAGGTGAAATGCGTTTCAGTTTTATTACTGAGAATACACAAACATAGTCTATTTGTAAAGATAATTCATGTCTACTTTTAGATACTGTGCTTTAGAGATTTAGGACAGAGTGTTTCAGAAGTTCAATAGTATTTAAATTGTCATGTATGTAAAGTTTAATACCACAATCCAGCAAAATATTTGCCTTTGTGATGAGTGCTTTGCTGAATGAGATGGCACAGCTGATTGTGTTTGCCTGAAGTCACTTTGAGCTAGTCAAAGATCATCACTCTGAAGTAACCAAGCACTTCCTGAACTTTGCAGGGCAGCAGCGTGTTTCTGTGACCAGCCTCCTGGTGTGCCATGGTTTATTGTTGGTTGGAACAAACCTGGGTATAATAGTAGCATTACCAGTGCCACGCTTGCAGGGGATTCCCAAAGTAACCGGTGAGTGAAATTTCTCAAACGGATCAAGTATAATGGTTTTATACTGAAGATTTTATTTCTCTTCTGTCAGTAGCTTAAGTGAACCTGCCAAATTATCTCTATTGTTTACATATATATCAGAGCTTTGTGTTAAAATTATATTTGTTGTTCTTCCTAAGCTTTATATCCAGATATTTGTCTAGTTTTGTCTTAGTTATTTGAGCTGGGACAACTGTTTTTCTTTAGGGCATAAGAATAGGATAGGCATTAATCCTGTCAGAGTACAGTGAAATATGTGGGGATGAGAAGAGAAGGCAAACAATCTTTCTTCCAGATTTAGGAAAAATAGATGCATTAGGTTTAGAGACATAGATACTGAAAATTTAGTTTGTTGTCTGACATAAATTGGTTTTGTTCCCTTTCTCTCCAAACAGGAGACTTAAAATATAAGAGAGTATGCATTTCATTTTTTTGACAATTACAAAGATTTTTGCATTTTGGAGAGATGTACTTATTGAGTTACTTTCCTATTACCCCATTTAAAGTACAAATGCATGAATGCTGCTGTATCACTTTGCAAATGTTTAAGCTACTAACAGAAACAAGATTTTAAAAGTGTGTTTAATAGGGGCTTTGCCATGCTATGTTTTGGGTTCAGAATTCTGCTCAAGCTTCTGTGCTGTGGAGGGAAGCTGGCAGATTTTATGAGGCAAGCTGTCTGCAACTTCCTTCAGGGGGAGAAAAAAAAAAAAAAAGCTTATGTAACTTTGCAAAATGAAAACGAAATCCTCTGTGCTCAGCAAAATATGCAGCAATAATCCAGTATGACACAGGATAAATGCTTCTTAAAATTATGGAACCTATGATAGATGAAAATAAATGCAACACAAAAAAATGCATAGCTGCAGAATCAAAAAATCTCTCATGTTATTCTTCCATTTTCTGTTTTGATTATTGTGGTTTATGTCATCTATATATTCTTGTATTTTGGGTCAAAATCTGTCAGATTTCACAGATTTAGCAGCATTATGTTTAGAGATCTATCTTTATAGTCTTTGATACCGTATTTAGAATTTGAACTGAAAAATTGCTTCATTTTCCAGTTGTGCTTCCAATAGTGATAATTCATCTCTATATCATGGCATTTTTTGTAAAAGCAAAATATGTTTTATTGCAACCATGAATGCATTACGGAGTTAGGGATGGACAGAATGATTTGTAGGGTTGTGGGTTTTTTCCCTTGACAGACTAGGTCTTTTCCATATTGTAGCTAATTTTGTACAATCCTACTGTCTCTTTTTTTTTTTTTTTTTTTTTTTTGATTTTGCTATAAAAGCCACATATACTGATATTTGTTGTAGCTTCTGAATTTGGCTGTATGCAATTTGTTTTTCATACATTCTAATGGTTTGCACACTGTAAATCTTCCTTGTATTGCCAACAGCCCAGTGTTTAAATACTTACAAAAAAAAAAAAGAAAAAATAATAATTGTTCACTCATTTCCTTATGAATCTGTCACAGTAACTAGACAAAAATTCAGAAGGATGAGTTTTAGTTCCTGCTGTGTAGTGTGTAGAGGTCTGTTACAATGAAACAGATGTTCTTACGCTGTTCTGGAGAGGTACAGAGGTACAATAGGATTAACTGAAAATCACGTATTTTCTTTGCGGATTACTGGAGAAAACTCACTGTGTTACATTTGTGTCAATGTCAACAAAAAGAAGTTAGCAGCTTTTCTGTACTCGTGCTGTTGTGAGAACAGAGCACGAAAGTATGTCAACTAAAATTCATAATGCTATGTTTCAGCTGATTTATTACTACACTCCTAAAACACTTGTGGTACAACAGATGATTTTTTTTGTACACTTTTTTCTGTAAATTGTGTACACACAAGGCGCAAGACAGACTGGATGCATACAATAGGGTTTCAAGAGTTATGCTTTTCTGAGCAAATTTCATGAACTAATTATGGTAGAACACTGTGGTAAAACAAATAATATTCTTTAATTGTCTTTTGGCTCCAGGAAGAGGCATGGTGTCATATCATGCACACAACGGCCCAGTCAGGTTTCTTGTAACGGCTACATCTGTAAACAAGAAGAACAGAAACAAGCTGAGGAACAGCCTGCCTCCAGGCTCAGAACTGAAAGATGACGACCAGAAGAACGTTCTGCACAATGAAAGACCGGGCTCTTCCCTTGGTAACACCCATGAAACTGCAATTTGGCTGGGGGGTTCAGTAGGATCCATTGCACAAAAAAGTGACTTGTCGTCATCTTCTGGATCCCTTACTTTGTCTCACGGATCAGGTTCCCTAGAACACAGGCCAGAGGACAGTAACATTTACGAGCTTTTGAAGGATCAAAATATCTCATTTAAAAATAAAAGACAGAGATCTCGGAAAGTGAAAGCGAGTTCAATATTAGTCATTTCTGGTGGCCAAGGACACAGAAGAGTGAACAAGAAGACCAAGCAGCAGCGACAAGATGAACTAGTGTCTTCAGTGATGGTCTGGCAAATCCCGCTATTAAATATCTAACTGAACTAAATCCAAGATACTTTCTGCTATTAAAAAAAAGTCTGATATCCTCTTACAGCACATTCCAGCTTAGGACCCAAATGGATAGACTTTAAGCATCTGGGAGCAATTTCAGTAGGCTTTGATCACAGGATTAAGGGTTGCACGACAGTCTTCACATACTTAGAACATTCTGCAGTGTTAGGGTGTTGGAAGACGTTCAGCCCTTGATGCTGTCCTTGATACTTAGAACAAAAAGGATCTGTTAGACACTTTTAAATGGTTTTAGAATCTTTACCTTATTTATATTCACATTTATAAATACCACAAGTATGTTCTATAGCACTTAGGGAAGGCAAGGAACACATGCCATGTCTCATGCTGGTTTTTGCTTATGTAAATCAGCTGTTGTTTCTTTTTCCAAAGTGACACATTGCATGGACTGTAGATTGTAACAAATTAGCAAATATTTTTAAACAATTAATAGTCTAATGTAAGCTAATATTAATTTCATAATTAGTACAGTAGTTTGTAACATCACTCCACAAGCCAGAGTTTGGTCTAGATAAAAGCAGTTATATTAATTGATTGGTATTTGTTTATTTTAATATAGAAAGTAGATTTTATTATTATTATTATTTCTAATGCTCAGTATTATCCAAAAAGTTGCAGTACAAAAAGTGCATTAATTTTCTTGGTAGGTGCAATGGGTCTGTGACTCACCTTCGTTATACAGAGAAAGTTCTAAGGATGCTATGGGTTAGGGAAAATAGAAAATACAGGTACAGGACAGGTGTGCATGGTGGTGCTGCTAACACATTCTCCCCCTGGCAACTCAGTATCAAAGCCAGACATGTACTATGCCATTTTTAAGGAGGCACATCCAGTAAATTACTAATGAAATTATTAATTAAATAATTAATTGGGGAGAAATATACTAATATTGGAATATCTATAGGAAGTGCAGGTAATCACTGTGGGTATAGGTCCTACATCAATTGATTTGTGCTACGTCCTCAGGCAAACACATATCAAATAATGTCACAGCACAACAGCTACAGCACAGGTACGGCTGTATCTGAGTGGCGGTCACCTCTTTTCACCCAGAATTTCAGCAAAGTATGGTCATGTGAATAGATACTGTGAAAATAGCACACACAGCTTCATTCGCTCATTTGGGCAGGTTGGTTGCTTTGGTAGTATTAGAGGGCTGAATTCTAAATAGAGACCTAATCATTGTTTCTTAATGAATTGATGTATTTCCAAAGGAAACTTTGAATTTGGGATTCCTACTGAAATTGCTTTTTGCACTAGCCTCTGCACATGTGAAATATAAGGCAAAGCCTTCGGCTCAGAAAGACATTGCCAAAAATGGTGATGAGACACATCCTTCAGTCAAAATATGTTTAATACAGATAACATTGAATTGAATCACTGGGAACATCCTTTCTCCTCATCAATAGACTTAAAGAAAGACAGAGAAATTAGGATGATTAAGTTTCGTTTAAATATGTTAAGAACCTCTACTACTGTCCTTCAGTGCAGTAAAATGCAAATTAAATATACCTGAAGCAGAACGTTTGTCAGATGTATGCATTGACTAGAATCAAGTAAAACTTTCAGCTACTTTGGTACTGTTACTGTGCCAATAATGGGGTGGTTTGCCCTGAAATTATTTCTGCTACTGCTAATACAAACTCCTTGATTTTGCCATGTTTTGTTTCGATCTGCCTAATTTAAATCAACATCAACTGTAATTACAGTGTCCCAGCACATGACATTTCAAGGTAAACAGTACTAGAGACAGAATTATTTTGTTTCATTTTTGTTCTTCTGTTTTGTTTTTTTTTTTTTTTTTTTTTTTTTTTTTTTTTTTTCAAAATAGCAGTAGGGTTTTTTAGATAATGGTGCTGAAATATATTTCCTTTATTTTGCAGCAGATTTGTGTGTCTTTTAAATTTTCAGTCTGTCTGCTCTATCAAGGTGACCCCAAAATTGGTGAGTGGGCTGACTTACCAAGTTTGACAGAGCACCGGAGTAGCGTTGGGTCTTCCCTGACACCAAGTACCTGGAACAGAGGGAATGCCAGTGCAACAGTCTTTGCCTGCTGGATGGCACCAAAATAGGCATTTCAGAAATCAGATACACACCCCAATTTCTTTTCAGCAGTTTTTCCCACATCCAACATCCTGATCAGAACAGGATTCTTAAGCCATAATAGTACAGACTTCAGTGAAACACAACAGACACTTGTTACAGATGAGGTTGTAGGCTTAGGGTCTTCATTACCATTTTGTGCTTTTATTCAGTGTCTTTCTCTGTGTGTCTTGCAACTGTAGTTGAGTGTTGTCAGCGTTGGCATGGGCTTAGTGTTGGCATGAGTCCTGATGCACAAAAAAAAAAAAAAAAAAAAAAAAGGCAGAGTGCCTCTAAGCAAGAAAGTTGGCAACATTTTCCTAAACTTTTCCTCTTCTTCCTGGCCTACTGCCTGGGCTTACCTGGCTTGAGGGATCAAGGCCAGTTGCATTTTCTACACTCTTCCATAGCTATGGCCCTGGGAGCTGTTCTTTGCCCACTGTGTGGAAGCACTACATTGTACAGTTTAATGTATGTATATTAAAAAACAAGTTAAAATATTCTTCTGTGTATAAAACATATATAATCTAGTATCCATTTGCTACACTGCAGTAAAAAACCCACAGGTTTTATTCTGTGTGCTCCTTCGGTGTGGGATTCCATGTCCGTGCCTTCGGGACTGGAGGATCACGTCCACTCTCTCATGGATCTTTATCACTAGCAGAGTGATAAAACAGAGTGAGCAGAGTTCACCACACATTCAACTGGAAATCCATGCATGGCGTTATGACGGGATCTGCTAGCACTAATGCATTAGAATTTTAAAGTGAAATTCATCCTATCTTCCACATGAAATATAATTCTCCTCAGTTTTATCAATAAAACATTAGAAACAAAGTACAAATCTGCTCTTCTGAAAGTACATTGGAGTTTTGCCAGTGACTTCAGTAAGAACAGAACCAGGTCCCTCATTTACATTATACTGTTTTGGAAATAAGTATCTGTTTTACTAAGCTGTAAAGCAAAAGACAAGCTCTATGTCTGTCTTTAAAATTGCATATTGTCATGAACTAGATTTTTAGTGACTAACTGAGCACAAGGTGCAATGTTTGTTTTCTGATATGCAGCTAACTGGTATTTACTATGAAAACAGGCAGGAACCAAAGTTTCTCTTACAGCTGGCATAGTCTTTATAGCTGTTGTAGACTGTGCTGCTAGGTAGGTTGGATTTTGCTTTCTGATACTGCTTTTCTAGATTATTAGAAATTACAGAAAATATTCGGAAAAGAGAGGAGCAAGTGTAACCACTATGATATATTCTATATATGTTTTCTAACACATAGTAGTGTCTTTTATAACATGAGCCATAAAACTTGTGTATTTATGTTCAAAGTATAAACTGAGAAAAATGTTTAATAAAAAAATATGATAAAAATTAACTTCAGGAGCACATTTCTCGGGTCATCATTTTAACTAGAAGGCTAGAATTTGTGTCATGCACTAATGAATAGTATACAAATTAATGGACTTATAAAAGGGAAAGTAGAACATTAAGACATTAATGAAGGTGTGTATTTTTTTGTTTAGTTTTATAGTTTCTACCATTTAGAAAACAGCAAATGCAATTTCTGAAAAAGATGCAGTCTTAAAATAAGTTTGACCCCTGTATCAATGGACCCAAATAGTGTCTAAGCAGTGGAATTTCTACCACGCTGTGTACGTGGACTATACATTTAGCACTTGGGCAGCATGCATGATGCGTGAGAATGAGAAGCATTAATCATCAAAATGAGTATTGCAGAGCAAAAGCATTAACAGAGGAAATTAATTTACAGTCGCTAACTGGCAATTCATTCTAATTAATCTGCCATAAAGGATATATACAGAATCCCATGATTGTGTTTAAATACTGAGACTTGTATTCATCAGCCTCGGCAATAGCCTTTTTGTGTGTACCTGCACTATTATAAATAAACAAGAGTTACTGAGTTTGTTTGCTGGTAAAGCCTGCCTTTTTGCTCTAGTTTTTATACCACTTCTCTTAAATCTATAGTTCTGGAAAACATCAAATCACATGGGTGCAGGATACTGTACATTCAGACACCTGAAGACAAATTCTGTCTCAATGGGAATTTACAACTCATTGTTTATGGGTGGGAGGCCGAGGGTTAAAAATTGCTTACTGCCCCTTTGAGAGAGGACTGAATATTGAGAAGGGCTTCCTGAACCATGGTTCACTGCTTAAACTTCACTCTTGCTTTCTCTTCTGTCCTATTTAATTTTCTGACCACATAAAGACAAATTAGGTTTTGTAAAATGTACTTAGGGGTGCGAAAAATTGTAGTTTGAAAGGTGCAACTATAGTGGAGGGTTCTGTAAGAGTTAATCTGTATTGCAGTGAGTGATACCATGGAGTTGATACAGTTGTTTGCTTTACAGAGTAATAATACTTCTCATAATAATAATAATCCTGTTAAGAAGGCATATTAATATCATCCCGTAGCTAGGAAGAAACTGAGTTGAAAAGTGTTTGCCTGACTTGAAGCCACATGATGAGCCGCCTGTAAAAGCACACAGATTAAAGCCATTGCTGCTCCCTAAGCCCATGATTAGCCCTTCAAACGGCCTCCCCCTTGCAGGTGCCCTGGGTGTGTGGCTGTTGAAACCGTTTGCTGGTACGCTGCCCGGGACTAGGGCGACAACGTGAGCAGTGACCTGTGGTCGCAGCAGCTGGCTCTCGGGGACTGAGCCTGGCCTGGGCTGCTCCTGTCAGACAGCACTGACACGGCCACTTATCTGGGATATTTGGGGGACTAATGAACTGCATGGGCATAAACCGTGCGGTGCCACTTGCAGAATAGGCTCTGCCTTTGGTTTCTTGGTACTGATGTAGCCTAGCATGTATCCATGCAACCTACTTCGTACGGGATGGCTGCCTAGCCGCCTAGAAGTTGAGACCAGTCTCTCATAGTCAGGAGGTGACAGAAATATGTACGAGCATAGTCTTGACACCTACCATACAGGTAGCAGTGGCAGGTATGAGGAGTCTCATTGTTAGACTGTGATGGTTTATCAGCTCCTTGTGCCACGCCACAACTCAAAATTCCGGTTTATTTCCTTCACCTTTCCAATTTAGGGGTTTTATAGCTGTATGTAGAATCTGCACACCATTTCTTCACAAATGCAGCAAGCACACTGCTAGATCTATCTGCTATTTGATTTGAGAGATCTAGCTCAAGATTTTTCAGAATTACTCGATTTGCTGCTGCCTTGTACTTGTGCTTACTTGATTATAGCATTTTCCTTAAAGGCATGCCCAGCTACCAAACTGCCAGAAACACCCTTTGCCTCCTGAAACAAAGAATCAAAATAGCAACACTGAAACAGCTTCAGATGAAAGGATCTGAAAATTTCCTAGGCAAATGAAGATTTACTGTGTGACTTCATTTGAAATGCAACAGTGTCGATGTATGACCCAAAGCACTTCAACTGCTTTGGCCAAGCTCCATAAACCACACTATGAAGGCAGTTAGTCTTTCATAGCACGACCTTCAAAGGTGTTCAAAGGGATTTTTTTTTTCCTCCAGCAAAACAGGCTTTGACAGCAGAACTGCAAGTTCTCCTGTTGTGCATATTGTTATACTCTGGGGATAATCACAGTTATCATTAATGTGTGTGTGTTCCAGCCCAGAAGATGAGTCAGAACACCTAGCATTAAAATGGCACACCTTGGGGGGGGGGATGAAATCATTGTAAAAATTCACTGGAAATCTGATTTAAGGAGTATTTGACACCGAAAGATCCAGGTGAGCCTCCAGCAGAGTTTTCTCAAGTACCAAAGTGCCTAATTTCCACTGAAATCTGAATATTTACATACCCAATGAAGATAACATGGAGGGTTTTAAATTCAAGAAACCAGATACAGCTTAGCTACAGAGTTACAGAATTTTTATTTTTGCTTTCTATTATTCCACATTGGAGAGAAATTGTATGGGTTTCTCCTTGAGCATCAAGGTCGCCTTGAATGTTGGCACAAAAAATGTATTCACTCACGCCTTCCAAAGCAAATGGTAAAAGCTGTTTCCTGTGGGCTTTTCTGGTTTGTTCTTTCTGTGCGCACTTCAAGTTGCGGAACATGCCTGTCAGACCACACTAACACACTAAATGCTTTTTTAATGTTCCCTTTCTAAACAGATTTTTTTTTTTTTTTTTTTTTCTGGAGAATTGGGTAGCACAGGCTGCGTGCATTAATGAGGAGGATTACCCCTAGTTCAGCCAAGATTTGTAAGTGCAACGATTTCTCTGCAATGTTGCTCAGAGCAGTCTGTGATGCTCTTAATGCCACTCACAAGCAGCTGACACCCTCAGTTAACTTAAACTGCATCTACACTGCTGAACTCCAGAGCACTTCAAACGATACTGATGCACATCCTGAGGCTGTACCAGGTGGGATCCATGTGCCAGTCCCTTCCCTGCACAGACCCTCCTGTCTGGGCAAGCAAAACTGGTTATAGCTTATGCTTATACATGATGATGTTTCATTGATACACCATTATTTTGGGAGATATGTACCAATCACAAGGTGTTTTGCTCAAAAGCCATAGTCATAGATGCACATTGATGAAACATGTGCTGGGACAGTCCATGGCTGATTACGGCTGGGAAAAAATGTTGACTGGATAATCCCAGAGCACTGTAAAGAGCAAGGGTATGATTTAATTCTCTTTTTCAAATTCTTTAAGTTTTTATTATCTTTTTAGTGAGTTAGGAGATGATGTGCACATTTTCTCAATTGTTCATCTAAGTAAATGCTATGTGTTCCCCATCTTTTAACCTTATCAAATGCTTTCAACCTTGTTAAAAGCTCTTCTACCTGTTTAGAGCATTGCTTCGGGTGATAAAAATCTGCATTAATACAGTCTCTTGTTATGCTGTTGTGGGTTTTTTTCTTAAATTAAAAACAATATTCATCTGTCTTCAGTGCATAGAAGTATGCAACACAACACTGAAAAAATCTTTATGATCTGTTTTTCTTTATGACTACTACTGCTCTATCTGCTGCAAGCTGATAACCCTCCTGATGAAACCAGCCCTTTTCTTTTGATTCTACTATTTGGGTGTGTCACAGGGATGTGTGAAAACTAATACATAAAGGCAGATCAGCTTGGGTCAGCATCAGACATATACAATGTATCCTGTGTAACATGACTACAGCATGTATGGTTTTTGTATTCCAAATATACAAAATGTATTTCAGGCATCTTTGGCTGCTCAGCAGAAAAACAATAAGCCTTTTGTCTGTGCCAGCAATAGCGTCAAACCAGTCCTTGAGGCCATTGTGTTATAATACCAAGAAGCATTTCACACAGGAGCGTTCAGCTGTCAAACACAGGATGAGCAAAAGGAGTCAGGTTTTCTTTTCTGTTTGTTTTGGGTTTACATTTTGGCTTCTGGCAATGAACCGTATCTCTGGGTACTGCAGGGACCACCAACGTCAGATACTGCCACTATGTATCTGATACTCCAGTACGCACAGGAGGAATACTACCGAGTTTCACCTATTCCAGTTCCAGAATTTTGATGCTGCAATGTTTATTTTTCCAAAACACCCTTCTGCCAACCTAAACCACAAAAGAATAGCTTACCAACAGCTTTGCATCTGCATGGGCACCAGTAGCAAGCCTAGACTGTGTAGGCATACCAGTCCTACCCAGTGTGCTGGAAACGTGCCCGCAGTGTAATGGATTCAGCGAGTGAAGGCTGCAAAGCCCACCTAATTAGCTGGGTAAATAATTGATCATGGACCCATGCTCAGCTCCACACTGCCATCAATACGCTACCTTCAGGATTCTACCTTGCTACTTGTAAAAGCTAGCCTGCGTACGCCTGTGTGAGCTACAGTCTGAGCCCGCTATCTAGGAAGGTTGAAAGCCTCTTGGTCCTTAGGCTATGGATTGAGTGTTTCACCTGGGTGAAATAACGATTTTGTTAAATGATTCCTAACCTCCTTAAATGAGAAATTCTGTAGCTTCGTTGGCCAGGAATCAACACCCTTGAGACTGAGCTGATTCATTTTTGATGTGATCTCCTGGCTAAGTTTACTGAGGAACAGTGCATCGGCTGCAGCTACCAGGGTAGCCCAGTCAGTCCTGCACGGCAGCCTCAGAGCTGGGAACTGCGGCAATGCAGCTGCTCCCGCGGCCAGTGGGAGGAAGGAAAGGAATTCAGTACCTCTCCCGGGAGAGCAGGGCCCCGACAAGCTCTGAGCGGGGGTACATCTCTCTGGATCAGGATGCCCTTTGGTGACCCTACCACAAGAACGGCGTTCAGCTCTAGTGCCCACTTCTGCGCTACAGACATCACAGTCTATTGTCTTCTAGGAAGAAGAAATCGAACATCTTTTGTTTTACCTGATGTGGATTAAACAGACAGAAGGGTCTATAAAATGAAGAAACTCCTATTCCTATTTCTTCATCTGGATTTTATTTATTTATTTATTTTTAACCAGAGAAACATCTGATATGGTTGTTCCAGACTGTATTCCCTGTTTATTATTGAGCACTACTGCTGATATGTGAGAGACAGAGAGGATGAGCTGTATGTCCAGAAGGACGTTAGCTGTGTGTGACTGGGCAGGAACTAGATAAGGTTTCTGGGACAGAACAGAACAAACACTTCCCTCCCTGCCTTTACTCACCTCACTGTGCTCACAGCAGCACAGCAGCAGCAGCAGTTAGAAGAAATCAGTCCCTCAGAATATTTGTTGTGTTGGCTGAGCTGCAGAAATACATGACAGCTACCAAATTACGTATCATGTAAGCTGTGCAATACCTGATTTCTTTAGGACAGGGTCTTTTCTACACTGGGACAATGATTCATCTCATGTAATTTAAGTGTTTGAAAAGTAATTGTCTACAGCTGTACCGGTCTGACTTTACAGCTAATGGAAAGAAACAAGGAATACAAAAGGGTGATTTACCTCATCTTAAGATGTCTAAGATAGGTGAGAAAAATTGCCCTCCAGACACGGTTATTCCTGTACAGTAATTATAAATGGAGCCTCGGGGAACTCAAGTTAAGTAGGAAAATCAAACAGCTAGAACTGAGATGATATCTACAATGAGTGTCTCAGTTTTTAGCATTATCTTCAGCTCTACCAAAAACTGAAAGGCTAGTTGATGAGCAGCCTTATTCTCCATGAGAAGTTTCCCAGCCTATGAACTACAGAACAGCAGTAATTTGCAAACATTGTGCTAAGAGGTCAGCGACTCTCCTTTATATCTGTTTTCACTTTAAGGTTTCTTGATGACAAAGGTGCATGAGGGAACTGGAAAGAAACTTAGAGGGAGGACAGTAGACCGAGGCTCTCAAAGTTAGGGATTCAGTGCACAAAGCTAAACTTTCAAACAGCAGAACAGAGGTAATTTTACCTGATCTGCCCCTGGCAATGTTCAGTGAAGGTGGAGGATAAATCTGCAACAGCCAAGTGCTACCTGACTTCGCAGGCTAGGACGTCCATGGAGCTTGGGTTTTGTATAGGTTTTTGCTGGCTCCAGCCACAGGGGAAAGTATGGCCCATAAACATGCAATATGCTGATTCCTACCCACCACTGATTTTCAGTCATCTCCAGAAACCGTAGCTCAGATACCTCTGTGTACACACAGGCTGGAATGTGATGTGGCAGCTAAAAGTGATGTGGCAGCTAAACCCGAAGAGGAGCTAAGCAATCCCAGTAGTGCTTAAAATTGTCATATATTCAGAAAGCATGGGTCAGAATGATCTCAAATTATCTCAGATATGATACTGCTGCCACAGCCACATAACTCACATCAGCGTGAACAGCAGTCAGGCACCTCAAGGGGACACGATCTTCCACAGAGGAATAGAACAACGGGGATCTAAAAAGTGAAAATAATTTCCCGGACTTGTATCAATTGTCTAATTTCAATGTCATCTTGAAAAATATAGTATTTAAAGTAACGTGAAACAGCAGGAAGATTAGTTCCTGATGTCAGGAGAAAAGAGTTATTTCTGGCAGGCTTTAATGGATCTGCTGTACCACACAGAAACTTCTCCCAGCTAGCTAGGAATAAAACCACATAGAGAAACTAAGAGTCCAATCATGTAATGGACCCAAATCAGGGGACAATTCACAATAGTGCTAAATTGTGCACAATTATGTTAAAACCACATGTTGTGGTTACCAATTATTCTAAGACCCCTGTGACACTGTATGACTATTACTTATGGCACCAAGAAGCACAATGGCCTCTCTCAGTAGGGATGAGACATGACCTCAGCTTGAAAACCAGCCTTCTGGATGAGTGCTGCACTTATTTAAGTGCACAACATGAGAGGAGCCAAGGGTTTCAAGCGGTTACACTTAGCCAGCACTGCATGCAAGTACTTTAGTGTATTAAGGGCTAACTCAACACAGAGATTTAGCAAAGCCAAAGTCAGAAAGTAGGAGCAATGGGACAAAATGAATGAGAAGACACCCGACCATGCTTAACCATCACCACCAAGAAGCTGGAAGAACATACAGTTGCGATGGTTATGCTGCCAGAACAGAATAAATTAATCGTCTGGTTAATTTGAGAGGAGATGGGAGTAGCTTTGCAAGTCTGCTCAGGAGTGTCTCCCAGGGCTGGAAGCCACTTGCTGGGTGGCTTCAGGAGAACCAGTCTGACGGGACCCTGGAGTCAGTGGAAAGAGGGGAAAAGAGAAAAGCTGCAGATGAAGTGTGTTTAGAGACAGCACTATCATAGGAAAACCATGTGTTGCAACAGCGATATGCCCAGGCACCAGCCATGGTTTAGGAAGGCTCGGATAGCACGGTGCCAGTGCCTCCTGTCTTGGGAGAAGTCAGATTGCAGCTGGTGGTGGGACTTGAGCTAGGTAAGTACCAGCAACTGCATCAGGAGCAGACCCAGGGTACAACTAACGTCACACGAGGCACTTGTTGACAATAAACTGGAAAACGGGTCTAATTCTGGGAATCCCAATGAGAGTCCCAGCTTTGAAGAGCAGGACAAAATGGGACCCGGCCCCAAACTGCAGCCAAACCGAAACCACCTGGCTTCCCCCTCGTTGCTCCTCCGTCGGCAGAAACTCGAGCGGCCCAGAGGCTCGGGCTGGGAGCCCGCCCCGTGGCCGACCGCGGCGAGCACGGCCGGTGCTGGGGGTGCCGCGGCCGGGGCGGGGGCCGGGCTGGCCCTAGGGGGCCGTGCTGGGTCAGGCTCCAGCCCGGGAGCTCCCCTCCGGAGCTGCCCCACGCCCCGGTTGCCGGAGGGGCGGCTCCCCCCGACCCCGCCCGGAGGTGAGGACCCGCCGTTTCCCCCTCCCGCAGCCGCCCGGAGGGAGTTTCTCCTCAGCGCGGGCAGGTGGGGCCGCTCCGCCGCCTCATCCCGAGGCGGGAGCACGGACACCCGGTCCCGGAGCGGCGCCGCCGCCGCTTCCCGCCTCAGCGGCCGCAACAGGTCTGCGCCACCCCCCCCCCCCCCCCCCCCCGACTCCTCTCGCCGCCCCTGTGCGAGCCTGTCAGGCGAACAAAGGGGCTGAGCGCGGCCGCCCGGCCCCCTCCGCCAGCCCGGCCCCTGCGCTTCAGCCATTTGCGTTCGCCCGGCATCGTACCGCCGCTTTCCCTCCCGCCTCCCCCCCTCCTCCCTCCCCGCTTCTCCTTCCCGGCTTCCCCCGCCAGCTCTCGCCCCGGTGGGCAGAGGAGGGAGCTTCCCCAGAGCGGCGCGGGGCCCGCCGGCCGGCGCCGAAAGGTAAGCCCCAGCCTGCCCGCCGTGCCGTGCCGAGCCGAGCCGAGCCGTGCCGAGCCGAGCCGAGCCGAGCCGAGCCGAGCCGTGCCGAGCCGAGCCGTGCCGGGAGCGGAGCGGCGGGCCGGGGGGATGGTTCGGGCACGTCCCGCCGCCGCGGAGCCTCCGGGGAGGATTGGTGCGGATCGCTGAGGTAAAAACCGCGACGCGGAGCCGGGTGTGTGTCTGTGCGGGAGCACTGTCAGGTTTAATCGTGCTTTTCTCTCCCCTCAGTCCCCCTTAACCCTCCTCCCCTGGGCAGGAGGGAGGCCGGGCATATCCCCATCTCCTTTCTCCATATGTCGCAGAGGAGCCAACCCTGATGCTTGCGTATTTTTTTTTTTTTTTTTTTTTTTTTATCCTGCTGACCCATTTAAAATCTACGTGACTCTCTACACTAACGTTTAGGGATGTGTAACAGCAGCAGATTGCTTCCCGCTATAAATTCTTCATGGCGTGCTTCCCCATCCTACTAAAAGCACGAGTGGTGCAAGCCCTGGGTGTACACATGCACGCACGATTTTGCAGGGTGGAAGGTGCCTGAAGAAAAGTCCTACTGGATTTCGTTTGTCCCAAGCCAGCAGGTTTTTATGTCTGGTCCTTTAAAGCAACAAAAAGCTAGCTCCCAAACCCAAACTTAGACGTAGTGCAGAAAATGATAGTATTAAATTCTATAGCCAACTTTTTTCACCCGTCAAGGAAAAATAAAACCCTCTAGAAATTATATTATGTAAAGCTTTTCCACAGCTATTAAATCGAACAATAGAAAACTAGAACAAAAAGATAGAAAAAAGTAGGGCAATAAAAAATAGAATAGCAATAAAATGGAACAATCCTTTTATATGATCTGAGAAGCTAAAGAGCTCCTCTGTTTTTCAGAGACTTAACCATCTGTCTCCCAAAAAGGAACGAAACGCAGTGTTTATGGACAATAATAATTAATTTGTCATTAGTATTGACAAAGCAATATTTGCTCCCTGGTTTAATTCTCTGGCCTATCCTGCCTGTTCTGCATTCTCCTCTTCCCAGGGCCCATCACACAGTATTTATTCACTTTAATTAGGACATCCAGTGCGTGCCAGTGGGACCCTCCTATCATCCAGTGCTAGTGGCACTGTCTGATGAGACCCTGCCAAAGAGCCGAGGGCTGGTCCTTTGCCTGCCCCAGCTCCCCCCGGCTCTGCAGGGACTCACTCCTGGCAGTAGTGGCACTGAAGTCAGTGGTGACACTCTTAGGAGCTGGAGTTTGCAGGAGTGCGCCTTGACAACATCAAAAGACCGAGATCCTTAATAACTTCCTTTCTGCTACGAGTGCTTTGCTCGCGTGACTTTTCAGTGTAACGAATAGTCCAAATAGGTGGACTGTTCTGAAATGTCAATAAATATTAGAGCACCATTACTTGGCAGGAACGTTCAATGAAAGCCATTAACTGGCTTTACTATAGTAAAGCAGGATTATAGTATTTAGGGCTGGCCTAGGTTACCGTAGAGACAGTGATGTGGTTAGATGACTGGATCCAGATCCTACTTACCAGGGGTTTCGGCATCCTGTAGTATCCTGTTGCAAGAGGATATTGGGGGCAGCTGGCTGCTAAAGAAGGGTATAATAAAACATGAAAGGAAATCCTGCAATTTCTTTTAAAATAGAATTAAAATGTGGGGTGTTTTTTTTGTTTTTTTGTTTTGTTTTGTTTTTTTTTTTTGTTTTTTTTGTCTTGTGAGATCCTGTATGGATTTTGCAGGGATTTTGCTGTTTACTGAGATTCTGCAGCATTGCAGTTAGGAAGCTATTTCTTTCCTGTGAACAGAAGCTAAGTCATTTTATACCACTTCACACCCTTGGAAATACCCATTTGAAAAATGAGCTCATTTTCATTGTGCTTGATCTCATTAGCCTTCTTGGGACATGACATTTTTATGTCGGCTGTTTTACTTTTCAATGGAATTGTCATCATCCGTTCTTTCTGCTTCATTTTTGGTCTCAGTGGTGTTTTGTCAGAGAGCAGGCATGATTAGTTCTTTTAACTGAAGAACTACTTCATAGCAGTTCAGGATTTGACAACCAGTTTAACCTGATCTATGACTGAGCTGTCACTGAGCGAGAAGAGACCCTGCTCCTTCCCTAGCCCAGGCCATACAGACCTGCCTGCTTCCTTGTGCCAGCACTCGTAACCACACGACACTACAGTGGATGGATATAGATTTTGCCTTCTTCCTGCAGTTAATTAAGAAAACACTGAGTTTACATATGTAGATATTGGCATTATGAGTGGGGCTAGTCCTGTGACCAGAGCATTTAAGTCTGCATGTAATTCTCTGCAGGATCAGGACCATACATGCTGTGTTTTCCTTAGATGGTCTTGACAATTCTGTAGCCTTTTTCCTGTCCTCATCCTAAAATGCTCCTCGGATGGTAACCGGCAGTTTCGGCTTTGAAAGAATTATAAGAGTGGGTCAGTATTCTATATGGATGATTGAGTGTTAATGCAAAAAAGAGTTGGCTAGGTCCTTTGTTCTGCACTGCACATTTGGTAGTTTGCAGTTTTTTATACCTCATCAGTGAGGATGGCAGGAATTCATGATCGGTTAAGTCAGTTTATTTAATGCAAAACAAGCTGGAAAAAAAATCCAGTAGTTGTACAGATTTTGCACTCTGTGTCAGAAGGAGAAGAAAGATGTGTCACACAAATGCTTTTCAGGTGCGATGTTTCACGAGCTGCCATTGCTGTGCCTCTGGCTAAAACAGATGGGTTGACAGCCTTTTTTAATTCACTCGGAAACACGCCAGAAACCGCAACCTTTCCATGCAAATCCACATAAGTTGGACAAGCAGCTTCCATGCTGCTATGTTGTCTGTCACAACATGATTTGCATTAATTAATAGCACCGAAGTTGTTTTACACGTACACATTCACAGCTTAGCATGAGCTGTTTGTTTTTTTCTGGACACTGATTCCTCCAGGATTATTTAAGGAGCAGAGTAAGCTTAGCATGTGGATCTCTAACTGCTGGAATGTTCCTGGACTTCTGAATCATTTCAGATTGTCAGAAATCTGCAGTAATTTTCATTTTTTTTCTTGGAAGCAATTCTGCTTTCCTCTCTCCCCTTCTTGTAAGTAGATTAGAAGAACAGGCCCTAAGCTCTGGAGATAAACTATTATTTCTGTGACCCATATTTTGAAGTGTTAGACAGTAAGAACCAAAAGCCAACCCTTTGCTGTGGGAATGGCATGTGAACAACAAGTGTTCTTATTCCGTCAGTCAAAGACAAATCTCTTCGCGGGAGAGCTCTCCTCTTATCCTGCAGCTTTCTTTCATCTTTACTGTAACTCCCCACATTGCCTCAGTTCAAAAAAAGCTACTGTACACATTTGCATGTACAGTGTAGGAAATCCAGATGCTCATGAAGTTAATGGGAATCTTCCCTTGACTACAATGGGGATAGGATTTACAGTGATGTCAGACTCTGGCTTTATCAAAAAAGCTCTGTGAAACTTAGGTGGAAGTTTCTAGCTGCAGGATACTAGCACAAGCCTCGTTTTCTCCAAAGCCATAGAAATGACCAGTACACAGACAACGTATTTCTTGTTTAGTAACAACTGATAATAGAGTCCTGAAGGAGTTGGGTTTTTACAGCAAATGCAGAAACAGTAAAGTAAATGTCATTTGAGTGTATTGCTTTGTGAGCTCTGGAGTTAGTCAGTGTCATGTGTCCCAAGTAATTTTACACTGTGATACAGAAAAAGGAGGGCAAAGACTGTTTATGTGCATTTGTATGATAAAATTAATTGCTGCTGCTTCTCCTTGACCAGGATGTGGTCTGTACCACTCACTGTGACAGAAGACCAGACCTTTATAATGAGAAAAAGAGTTGCAAGGACCTATTGGATTGTTAGCCCGATGCCTGGACTATATCCCTGCCAAGACATTTTGCAGCCTTATGGAGAAATAAATACCACTATTGCACCCCTAAAATCAGGCAATTTTTCAGAGTACAGTGGCTGAAAAGTCCCACTGTCTGCTTTGAGGAAATGTTGTTGATCTGTATGTAAAATATCTCCCTAGTCAGAAGCAACCAAACTTTAGACTTATGAGTGAAACATCAAAATCTCAAAACGGTCAGGTCAAGAACAACAAACCAGGACCCCTGAATCTGGGCTTCTCCTCATACCTCCCTAATCATAACCATAAAATGAAACACTTCTCTGCCTCCCATCCTGCTTTGAAAGTCTTAGTTCTTACTCCAGGTCCTGACTCTGTGCAGCTCTGCCCAAATTGTTACCTAATAAATGCAAGAATAGCACCATGACTGTCGCACATGATGCAAATTTAACTGCATGCATTAACAAGCCTTTATCCTGTAGTACTTGCAAAGGACATGTTTGAATCATAGGTTACTCAGCCATACTACAATATTTACTTATCCTCTGCGTCAGGCAGTCCAAAAGCAGATGGGACAGTCCTGAGGTAGCTGTGGTCTTCATCACCCTTCACAGTTGTGCTCCCCGTCTGTATGTCTCTTCAGAAAGAGCATGGATCATTTTGGGAAAACAGAATGCTGCCAAGTCAGCAGACAAAAAAATGAAGTCCAAAGTGAAAAGCAGCATATGTATTTCTGCAAGATATCCAGGATGATCCAGTTGACATCTGATTTTCCATCAAGGTCATTGGCCAAAACAGAGGAACCATATAGATGTGAAATGGATGATTTGAGCAGAACAATGCTTTGACCTAATTCAGCCAGAAGTTATTGGCTTGGTACAGGAGTAAAATTCTTTGGCCTGTTCTTGCAGGAATAAGATTAGATAACCAGGCAGTCTTTTCTGTCCCTTAAATTCAGGCATCTTAACTGTTACATACCTGCCCTGTTAAATGTGAAAAAAAAAAAAAAATTGTGGGAGCTATTGAATTGCTTGCACTAAATTCTAGAAGTTGAATATAGTCAGAGAAATCAGTGCAGCCAGAAAGCCTTTCCCTGAACGCCCAGGCTCAGCATATGAAATTCACATTATAGTAAAAATGTTACTCATCCAGTGCAGAAAGTGTCAGGCCATGGAAATAATAGTATTTTAATAGAAACCTATTTTATTTCTGTCTCAAAATGGCCAGCAACTGTTACCTTCTAGTAATGTAAACAGCATGCATTACATTACA